AAATTTTTTATTTTTAATTTAATTTAATTTTCGTTTTTTTTATTTATTTCTTCTTTAAAAAATAATATTTTTTAAAAAAAAACTTTTTTTAATATTTTTTTTTAATATTTTTCTTTAAATATTCTTTTTCTATATTATTTTAGTTTTCAGTTAAAACAACTATATGCCAATAAAACGACTATTATTAAAACGACTATTATAAAACGACTATTATTAAAACAATTGGTATTAAAACAATGATACATCAGTTTCACAATTTATTAAATTAATTATATATTATATTATTTCCATTGTAAGATTAACTAATTATTTAATTAAAACATCTCCAAAACAACTATTTGTTAAATGAACTATTTATTCAAACAAACTAAAAAGTAATGAAAACAATAATATTGTTGTGCAAAAACAACTATATTGCTATACGGAAACAACTATATTGAATCAACTACAAATTATTGAAATGCACAAAAGCAAAAGCAAAAGCAAAAAAACACACCAAAATTCCAACAAAAACGACTATTATTGAAACCAACTACAACCGTAACGAAAACAACTATATCTTTTTGAGTAACACGAACATAATTTCAACAAACCAGCCTCCCAAACAATACCTCCTCCTCGAGGTCAATCTATTCCATTACAGCGGTGGTGGAGGCGGTCTTTCGACGAGGATTCGAGGATGCTTCCAAAAATCGAAAGAATAAAAAAAAAAAAAAAAATACCAGCAGATCTGCTCATCCCTCAGAACGGAAGGGGGGGAGACCGGAAGGCCGCCGTCCGTCCTAAATTCGGCGGCGTTGCCTTGTCGTTGTCGAGATCTGGAGCCGGCTTCGTCCTCTCCTTGCCCCACATCCGTCGGATTCCCAATTCAAGAAAGAAGAGAAAGGGGTCTTCCTTGTCGTAGTTGAGATGTAGCGCCGCCTTCGTCATCTTCACCGCTGCCGCCATCGAGCCGAGTGAGTTTCGGTTCCAGAAAAGAAGAGAAAAGATGATGGAGATTTGAGAACGGCGGTTTGTGGGATTTGAGAACGGCAGTTTGTTGCAGCAAATATGGCTAGGGTTTGTAAATATAAGAGTTGGAAAATTAAGGATAATATTGGTATAACACTTAATAATTTTATTAATATTAATTTAATTAAATAATTAAGGGGGTTCTCACTAATAATGAAAATGAGGCTATATCCACCTTAATATAAGTAAATGAATTGGGGGGGGGGGGGGGGTTACTAATTATCCCCTAAACAAAATGTACATATTTTACATGACAAAAAAAAATAAAAAAATTAATTATTTTTCTTATTGGCTGCGGGTATATGCAAAAATAATTCCCCTTGGGCAAAAACCAATTAAAATTTTCCATGGATAAATACCATAATACCCTTATTTATTAAAAAAATTAAAAAATTCCCAATATGCCAGACCCAAAATTCCAAAACACCAAAATTCTTTCACAAGACCCCCAAACCCCCAGAACCACTATCATCTTCTCCATCTTCCAAAACTCACAAGACCTTTCTCCTTCCTCCTCCATTAACCCACAAAACCTAGAAATTCAAAATCATCAAAACTCAACAAATCTTACAAAGATGGCAAATATGGAGTCAGAAAACATCAAAATAGAAGATTCTACGATGGAAGAACCCAAGAATGTATGCATTTATGGGTTTTTTTAGCTAGAATATCGATTTTCCAAAAAAAATCTCGCGCAAACGAATTCGACATGTACATGTCGAATTTTACAGGTAAAAATCGACATTTAGATGTCGAATTTGAGGTATAAAATTCGACATTTAGATGTCGATTTTTTGGTATAAAATTCGACATTTGAATTTGTGCTACAAATTCGACATGTCAATGTCGATTTTTACCTATGAAATTCGACGCTTAAGTGTCGATTTGTAGCATAGTTTTTCGACACCTTGGTGTCGATTTTTGTTTTTTTCTCATTATTTGTATTTGGTCTTACATGAGAAAAAAAAGCCAATTTAATTTATGGGCATACTTGTCATTACATCTTAATAAAATAGAATCTTTTAGAATCTTTCTTTAATTTGGTCTTGCACAAGTGGAATGAGTATTGCATATAGCCGCAGCCTTTCTTATTTAATAAATGTTGCAGTCAAAAGGCTATAGAAAATATATCTTTACTATTTCTTATTTACAGAAAAATCTTAGATTCTTTTTTTGGGTGCAAATTTAGACCGGATGGTCTGTTTTAATAGGAAAATCGGATGTCATAGAATGATTGACACGTGATAGTTTAAATAAGAATATAATCAGGATTCTAATAATTGGAAGAGAAAAAAGGGAAAAGAAAATCTACCAGACCCCTAACCCCTCTAACCCTAATTATAATCAGTGAGATTTATTAAGTATTAAGATTTAGGAGTGTCACATGTCAACAAATTAGTGAAATTCGATTTATATTAAATATCGAACCGATCCGCTTAGAATTTAATATCTTCTTTCTTACCTGCATGTTTCTTTGGCTCATTCCCCAAATTTGAACCTTTTCGAAAATTTTAAAATTTATCCGACTTCCGAAATTCCAAATTTACCAAAACGTTTGTAATCATAATAGATTTCTAGATTATGATATAATTGATATTAAATTGGAAATTAACGGAATTTTGTTCAAAAGATTAATTTCGATCCGACTTTCGGCCATAAATAAGAGTATTTAAAAAAATAAAAATAAAATAAAATAAATTAAAAAAGAGTGAGGCAAGTCAATCAATAATGATGATCATTTTGTTTCATGAATGGTGGTACTACCTGGCTCTTGTCACGTGCATTCTTCTATTCTTTATGTTTCCATGTCATTTTCTTTTTTTTCCAACAATACCCCTAGTTCTCCTACACTATTTCAGAAATGCCTCCTACATATAATTAATTACTTCTTTTTTCAAATAATTATGGTCAATCCAAGATTCAGTTTATATAAAACTATTTCATAATTCTTCGTCAAAATCTTTAATACATACATATTTGATAAATAAATACAGTAAATTACGAAATTTCTCTGAATTTAGGTCAAATTACGAAAAACTCCCGCACCTATCTGTAATTACTAAAATTCCCCAATGTTTCTTTCCGTATTACATTGTGCCCTTTACAGTGTGGTTTTTCACAAAATCTTTTTGAGTCCAAGGAATATATCCCAAAAAATGTCAATTATACCTCTACAGGGTGAAATTTTCTTTTATGCTACTTTTTAAAGATAAAAATTACTCGCAACAAGATACCGGTAATACTAAAAAGTTGCGAATTAATTCATTGTAAGAAGATTAAAGATGTCGTTTAAGCGCCCTTAGTGGGTAATTTTATATCTCAAAAGTAGAATAAAGAAATGTCACGTCTGCAAGGATATAATCGACATTTTTCAGGGAACATTCCCTGTAACAGAAAAGATTTCATGAAAATCAGATCTTAAGGGGATAGGGGGGATTTTGCCAATTACGAATTTTGGGGGTATTTTACGTAATTTAGCCTAAGTTTAGGGGCATTTTCGTAATTGAACAATAGCTTGATGTGGCCAACCGGTTAGCCATATTCTAGTGTTTTTTTACTTTTACTGCAGAAAATGAAAAAAAAAAAAAAATATCAATCAGATCAATCAAACGAACACAGATCGAACAAGCAAACTACAGCAGTGAAAAACAACAATTTGCAGAATTCAAATAATAAAATAAAATTAATTTAATTGAAAATAAAAATAAAAATGGATTTAAATAACAGACCCCATTATTTCCGCAGAACAATCACTGATAAGCTGCAGCGCAACCACCGCTGCCACCACCACCACCACAGCTCACTTCTCCTCCATGAAACTCACTAAAGCAATCCTCAGACCACTCCGCGCCGCCGTCAGAGGCGGCGGTGTCTCTATCTCCTTGTTCAGCCGCCGCCGCCGCCGCCTCACCGACGGCGGCAGCCAAGGGACATCGTCCTCCGGGAAAAAGAGAGGCGGCGGGCGTTTCGAAAACCCAGAGCCGTCGTCGCCGAAAGTGACCTGCATTGGTCAAGTGAGGGTGAAGTCGAAGAGGAGAGCGAAGCAGTCTCTCCGGAGCCTCTCCGGCGGAAGGCCGATCGGAGAGGCGAGTTTCAGAAAGCCAGAGCAGATTATTACATCTCACGCCGATCGCCACAGATGGGTTCATCTGCCGATCTGCGTCTGCGAAGCTCTGCGCGCCGCGTTCGCCGCGGCGGCGGAGTTCAGCTGCTGCTGCAGTAGTAGAAGAAGAGAATGCTGTCTTCCGACCGCCGGCGGCGGTGGAAATTGTGGGTGCTGGGCTGTTCTTGGGAGGTGGCTGGTGTCTGTGTTTTTTTGCGGCGGAGGAAGGAGGAGGAAGGAGATAATTGAGGTGGTGGTTGGCGGCGGAGTTACCGAGGTTATTGTTAAGGAAGATCACAATCAAGAAGAAGAAGAAGCCATTAATACAACAAACGAGAACAATGAAGTTTTGCTGATGAGATGCAGATCTGATGAAATTAATGAAGAAGAAGATCAAAACGACGACGTACGAAATGCAGATTTCGATGGAGTACGAGGTTTCGGAGAAGTTAAGGAAAACGAAGAAGAGGAAGATTATAAAGAAGAAGATTCGGATGAGTCTAACATGTCTTCATTTGAAGCTCTTCTGGACCAAGAAAACACAGATCAATTACCACGTGATAAAAATGATGATGATGACGTCATTTCAGACAAGGACACGTCATCACCATTTGTTGAAGAAGAAGAAGAAGCTAAACCAGAAGAAGAAGCTGCTGCCATGGTGGTATTGCCGGAATGTTTGCTCTTGATGATGTGCGAGCCCAAGCTTTCGATGGAGGTTTCCAAGGAGACGTGGGTCTGCAGCACGGACTTCGTGCGGCGGCCGGAGCGGCCGCAGAAGGCGGCGAACGCCGCCGCGAACGGCGGCGGGTGCTGCCACCACGGTGGGGGAGTCAAGAGGAGACATTTGGTCGTTGAGTCCAAGCCGCCTACTACTGCTAAGCCGAATGTCCCGGCGCCTCCGTCTAAGAAGAACGATGGTCTCCAGCCGGCGCGGTCGTCTTGCTCTCTACCGGCGGCGGCGCCATCCATGGCGGCGGTGATTGAGCAGAAGCTGGGGGCGGGTGCTGCGGGGTACGAGCCGTTTGCTCTGACGAGGTGCAAGTCGGAGCCGATGAGGACTGCGGCGGCTAAAGTCATGCCGGAGTCGTGTTTGTGGAAGAATGGTGTTGTGGAGCCGGAGCCGCTCGGCGCCGGTGCCGGCGCGGCTGGGGTCGGGTTCTGAGCGGAGCTGTCAAAAAAATAATGACAAATTGACATGTCATTTTGTACAGTACTTTTTTTAACCCTGAAAGTCTTTTTTTTTTTCTTTTAATCTTTTCTGTTGTTTAAATTGTTACTTTTCTCTACTTTTTTTTTTCTTTTTTTTTGTGGTAAATAAAATGAGCGTCTGAGATGAAATCTCAATAAGATCATATTTATAATTTTTTTTTTTTTTATCTTAGTTAGAAAGTAATTAAGATATATTTAAATTCTCAATATAAAAATAAAAATTAAGGTGTCACATTAAAGAGAACAACTTATTTATTTGCTCATAAAAAATGTCCAGCTTCAAATTTTGAGTTTTGATCTTTAAATTTAATTCGAATTGATGGTACAAGCTCAACAAAATTCAAATTAAAATGGTCAAACATGTCCAATACTACTACATTGGTCTACCACAATTGAAGTGAAATTGGACCAATTAAAGGAGTTCATATTATCTTACACTTTAGAATTTCAATATTATATTAATTACGTAATCTTAAATTTTGCATTTATTAACTCTTCAACATTCTATCTGCATTATTAATTGGAGTAGTAAATAAGCTTATTTTGGTATAATAATAACTATTTTCTTAATATCAAAACGTATTTATTCTGTTTCTTAAGATTTATGCAAAAATGAAAAACGGCACATATTTAGGAACAAATGAAATATTGAATACTCCTTCCGCTCGTAATTAACTGTCGTATTTAGAAACATATGTAATATTAATACTCCACCATTCATAATTAACTGTCATTTTTTATTTTTTTACAACTATTAAGAATATTAATAATTGTATCTTGAATTTAAAAGAAAAAACTTATTAAAACGCCAACAAAAAAACCTTAATCATTTAATGATGTGAGAGAGTTTATACTTATAGTTGAATTAATAAGGTTAAAACATGAAAAATTACATACAATGCAGAATTGAATATCTAAAGTGACAAATAATATATATAAAAATATTTTTTTAAAAAGACAATTATTGTGGAACAAATGAAGTATTTACTTAAGACTCAAAGAACTTTTAAGCTTTTATGAATCAATTTTCAGCTTCCAACTCGATTATTTCTCGATTTACATATTCCGAGTTCCACTTGAAACTTTAATGTAAATACACTCCATCATTTTATTTATTATTATTATTATTGTTATTATTATTATTATTATTATTATTATTATTATTATTATTATTATTATTATTATTATTATTATTATTATTATTTAGCAATAATTGGATATTGGATTCTCTTTATAAGTAAAGACAGGCTTTATATATATATCTAGGTTTCAGAAAAAGAAGATTCAATTTCAATAGAATATAAAAGTCATTTATTTGGGTGCACGTGAAATTAAAATTTCCCCACGAGATGGTGAACACAGTAGACAGCCTGTTTCTTTATTATGTCCATGTGTACCATATATTATATTATATTATATTATATATTGTCCATCTAAGTTATGGTTGTAATAACATGTGAATTTTTATTCCTTTATTTTCCTAAAACTAAATTAAATTAAATTAAACATTATATTGCACCCACACTAGTTGAGGTAATTTCCACTTCAAATGAGAATACAATAATTTTAATATATGGTTTATTTTTAATAATTTAATAGTATTTTACAAGTTTCGGTTGTATTAATTTATAAAGGTTGAACTATAGTTTATCGAAGAAGAAAAAATCTACCTTAATCCTAGTCACGTGATCTGCACGTAATTTTCTTATTAACATTTTATTTTAATAAGAGAAAGTAGATATATGAATACTTGACGATTTTACCACAATCAAGATCACACGCTGGTTAATCACGTACCGAAGGACAAAATAGAACTCAAATATTTTAGATTACGGTGTCATAATCTTGAGCCGATTTAAGCTACAAATAATATTGATATTACAAGTGAAATTTTAGAGAAAAACAATTGGAATTTTCAAAAATTAAAATCGGATCGAAAATAAGAATCACATCAAAATTCCATATTGCGATCCACAAGTAAGGGAAAAAAAATCGAAATTTTGAAATTAAGAATTTGAATATTGTTTCGAAATTAGAAGCTTCCAAATCGTAATCAACGAAACTTGAAAGCTATTATATATTTGCTTAATCAATTGTGAATTTATATTGTTAATTCTAGTTTAATCTCGTAATTAATTATTTAACCTTTAGTAGTTACTTTAATATTTACTTGTATTTCTAGTAATTATAGATTCTGGTAAACACATGAATTTACATAGTGTTGTGATGTAGATTGTATAATACAAGTTTTACTTTATAGTATTTAAAGAAGAAAAAAAATCGAAACTTTTCGACTATACAATATATTCAAGAACAGAAAACCTACTCGGTTTCGATGTCAATTTTTTTTCTTCATTTTTGTGTTTTATCTGAACTTTGATCCTCATCGGCACTGGTTGTTCCGGAACTATCCGGATCACTCGATTTTGGATAAGACGAGTTTAACGGGGCATCACCTTCGCTTCTGGAAACTTCCGAAAATGAGTTAAGCGCTAGCTGCCCCGAATAAAGGAACAAACCTAGAGAGTTGAATCCAAACACAAACGTAGCAAGGTAACACATCCCGTTTATAATCGTCCTGCGTATATATATGAAATTAAATCGCTTCATATATAAGTTTAATATATATGAAAACACGAAATTAAATAGTAGCCGATAATTAAATTACCCAAATTACCTTATCGTGATAGTTATTTGGCGAACCTGAAAAAAAAAACGATAAAACGATATTATATCATTGTGGTGTAAAATATAATATTTCACATTTCAATATATATATATATATATATATTCACCATGCTTTATAAACACTAGTTAAATCGACGATTGAGGTAAAAAAATATACTTACACGATATATTCGCACATAATCACACACATACATATGTGTTAGAAGTATAGTAAGTATATGCATTTTACAAGATATGCTATATAATATATGAGTAGTTAATCGAAAAATTCACACAATTCGGAATGCATGTAAGATTTAATTTAACGCAACAAAGTAAATTGAAGAAAAACGGACCGAGTAATTATTGGAAAGCGTTTGGTGATTGAGAGAGTATTCGATGGTGGTCGTGAATTTATAAAGAAGTATTCCACATGCAGCAGCTATTACAGCTCCAAGAAATGCCTGATCGGGTGATGTTCGCGACTTTCCTTTTTTACGGAGTGAATTATTAGATCCCGTTTTCGCCCCCGACGACCTTAATCTCTGGTCCCACATATATAAATTACCAATGTTGAGAAAATCTACATTTCAACTCTACAATATTAGACATACATTTAAACCTCTATAAATTAATACAGTCGTGACTAGCAAAATTCTATTAATTTAGCGAATTATCAAATTATCGAACTAATAATTTACTAGGTTTTTACCCAATCGGGACCAGAATAGACTGTTATTTAAACGAGATTATTATTTTATCGAATATTAATTTATCAAGATTCTACTGTATATGGTATATTGTATAGACATGTACATGCATAACAATAGTTGCAAGAGTCGAAACAACAATGTATGCACTTAGGGGTGGAAATCGAACGGATAAGATTGAAATTAGCACATTTGAGAAAAAATCCAATTTTTTTTTTTTTATCGGAAATTTGAAAAGAAAAAAACTTGTTTCGAAATCGAATAACATAATACCATTCGGATCGGAATCGCGGGCATAATTCGGAATTTCCATTTTTGTTAGTCCAACTATTATATAAAAATCGGATTTTTTTTCGAAAAATGAGTGTGTAACAAAATTCAGCCGGTGTAGCAATCAAGTTGTTAATTATCTAAATTAGTGAGAAAACGCACCGCTTGTTTGGCGAGCTTGGCGCGGCGGCGGAGGGAGCGGAAGAGGAAGAGAGCGAAGGCGCCGGTGAGGAGGACGCTGGCGGCGGTTTGGAGAGATGAAGAGCCGTACGCGGCGGAGATAATTGAGCGAATTGACGGAGAGAGTTCAATTGGTCCGTCATTCGGCGGTGGCGAGGAGGCGGAGCTTGCGGCGGCGGCGGCGGCGGTGGTGGCGAGTTCTTCTGATAATTGGGCAATCCATGCTTTGTGGGCAGAGCAGAGAGAGTAGTGATTTGTGGGTCTGAAGGGAAAATTGAGATAGTGGGAAAATGGGACCGGAGAGGCGGAGGGGAGGAGGAAGTTGGCGGAGGAGAGGCGGCGGCGGAGCACTGGTTGAGTGTGCATCATTTTGTGGACAGTAGTAAAATGTCTGATGCTCACGCAGAGAATAATCTCAGGAGGTATTTCTAATTTTATTATTATTATTTATTTTTTTAAGGTAGATATTTCTTTGTTTTTTTTATTGATTAAACTCTCAATTTAATTATATATCCCACACAAATACTTTTATTTATTGGTGAAAATATATTCCAATAAATTATTTCACTTGATGGAGAAAAATTAACCTCCGCTTAAATAATATTTTTTTCGGTTCCGACTCGGTGACAATGTAGTATTTTGCCTTCCATAGCCGCAACCCTAATCTTCTTGAATCACCCGGCGGCTTTCGGGTTAGCTTCGAAACCGAGGATATGGAGGCGACGAGTGAGAATGAAGAGATGGTATGCGATTTTAGGGTTTTGAAAGAAATCGTTTGTTTGTTGTTTATTGGGCAAGAAATCGTATGTGTGCATTGTTTCCATTAACTTTTCGCTAGTAAAATTGTAGACTATCTTTGTAAACGAACGCGCAACGAACTTGATTCGAAACCGAAAAATACGGTGCAGGTCCTTATTGCTAATGAGGTTATGTATACTAATACAACAACCAAGGTTGGAAATTTCAATAATAAACTTATGGCTCGCAGTGCTACTTGCACTATTCACATGAAGCGTACGCATTGTTTTCGGTAACTTTTTGCTAATATGTTTTTGTAAGTGAGCGAGCAAGGAAATTTGATGAGAATCGAAAAACTATGGCGTATGATATGGGCTTGATTGCCAAACAAAAGAAGCCCAAATGCGATCTAGGCCCACTTTTTCCTGTCAACTACACTCGGCAAAGAATGATCAGTCGTTTCTGGTTACACCACAAGTCATGAGCTTCTTCTCGGTCCATGCTTTCCGCCTTTTGTCCTTTAACAGTTGGCCGAATGTAGTCACACCCATCGAGTACTCTACGTGGACCATTTAACTAACCAGACTGCGAAACGAAATAGTTCACCGCAGTAGTCACATCACTCACATGTGTAACCTGACCAGTAAAATGATAAAGGTCCCACAACCCCATCCATGTGGCATGTATAAATGTAACTTTGAGGTACAAGAGAAAGGTGATATTTGTTATTACACCCATTATATTATTTTCACTCCCAAATACATATATCATTTTACGTTATTATATACCCGATTGACTTTGTCGTCGCAGTACTAACACCGAAAAACCTTCTATAACACTTATTTTTGCAGGTCTCTCGGAACTTGTGGGCTTCCTTTGCATATGACCCATTTTCTTCCCTCTATTTGTGATAGGGCCATTTAGGCTTCATCGGTGTCCTATGGCTAATGAAGTTTTACGTATGGAGAACTTCTAGAAAATTCCTATTTTAAATTAGATAATTTCTGCAGAAGCATAAACAATTAAAATTAGAGCTCAAGGACTCAAAATTAAATCGTGGAGTATTTGGTGGAGTCACTTAGACAAGTTCATTTAATTTACAATTGTAAATTTGAAACTATTAGCTTTAAAAATCAATATTCATGAAAATTGAGTCTTCTTCGTACAAAATTGACAGGGCAAATTACGACCACTCCCTGAGGTATGATCAAAAAAAAAAAAAAAACTCTCTTGTTTTCGTTATTATAGTCACTCCCTCATTTTAAATATTTTTACATAAAACTAATGTAATTCAGTTATTTATATAGCCAAATCGTATATTTAGTTCGGTAAACAATATGAAATGTTGGCGTACCAAAATTTCGGTTCGGTTTTACCGAATTGACATCCCTAAAGTTACCTCTGGAGGCATTTTTTCGTAAGATAATACATAGTTGAGGGGGTGACTGTAATTACCCAAACAAGAGAGAAGTTTTCGTAATTCGATCATAATTCAGTAATTGGGACATTTTTTATGATACAAATTGAAATTCCCCTAGAGAATCAATTCACAACCAATAGCTAGCTATAATTTTGAAATTCATTTCATATATATATATATATATTCTTTTTTTTTTTTTTTTTTTTCGGTAATGCAGGACTCGCAGCCAATCATATAAGTGCACTGGGTAAATATATAGATAGCATTGCGTGTAGTGTTAGAGAGAACTTTTCTTGCAAATGATCTTCATTTTCCAACAATGGCGAATCTCAATTCACCAACTGTAACAAATCACGTTTTATTTCTGCAAAATAAATATTAAAAAAAAAAAAAATTGTCAAACTTTTCAGCACTCCTGGCGCACGTTAGACGCCACCGCCCTGGCCCAAAACTTAATCTGCGCCTTCACATCCTCGTTCGATCTCTTCGCCTTGCCGCCGCCGCCGCCCCACTTGGGAAACGGCGGAGCTGAGCTCTGCTTCGGCGCCGCCGCCCACGCCTCCGATAGATACGGCCGCATCGCCCTACTGTGTTTCACAACTTCATCTTCTTCTTCATCGACCCTCTTCCTTTCCTGCAAACCTGGTGCGATGCTGATCGGATTAGGGCTCGAATCTTTTCCGCCGGAATCTAATCTCAAATCGTTAAACCCTCGTAATAATTCCTCCGATTCCAGATCGAATTTAATACCCTCGACCTCCGATTTCTTTCTCGTGGATCTGTACCTCGATACACTCGAGCTTGGTGTAAGCGCCTGCAAAAATAAAAATTCAATCTTGAAATTAAAAAACAAAAAACCCGAAAATTTATAATTTTCTTGGAATTAGAGCAGGGTACCTTGGCGGCGTGTTTCCTCGGCGGTAGCGTGTCGGAGTAGTTCATCGAAGCTTGTCGGATCAATTTCCCCATGGAGAACTCGTTCTCTTCTTCGTCAGTCTCCTGCAAACTGGTCGGAAGAGACGGCGCGCGGTTCAAGGCGTTCGCCGGTGCACGCCTCCTGTTCGACGATTTGCCTCTGAGAGAATCACCACCCTTTTTCGCCGGTTTCTGATCCTTCCTCGCCGAACTCGACGGATCCGACGGCGCCCTGATCAGACTCCGCCGCGGCGGCTCGTCTCCGGCCGACAGCTTCTTGATTGACTCGTAGGTTTCCTCGTATGATTTCTCCGGCGAAGCCTCTTCTTGGCCGCCGTACACTTTTGATGAAGAAGAAAAAGAAGAAGTGCAGGGATCAGATAAACTTCTCAGCATTCTTGATTTTCTCTGTAGTAAATTACCAAAAAACCAGATGTCTTCAAGTAATTCTCCAGGCTCAACCTTCTCAATATCTTCATTATTAACATCCATTTTAATAAATAAATTAAAATAAATAAAAGTTCTTGAATTTAACTTTTTTTTTTTTGGGGTGCTTTTAATCACTTTTTGTTTTTTGTCACAAGAAAATGGAGTTTGGGAGAGTTCTTGAATTTATGTGATGATTATATATATGTGGTGGTTATCTTGATAAGATATGTGAATTTTGCCAAAAATAAATAAATTAATTAATTAATAAATAAATAAAAATAAAAGGTTTTATGGTTAAATATTGGAAAGCTGTCAAAAAAAATTGGATGATTGGAGAGGCCATGTGGGACTGGGGATGACATGTGCTCAAAGATTGATACAAACTTATTACATGGTGGACATAGGACTTTGTAAATTATAATGTTTTATTATTTATTTATTTATTTATTTAATGTTATTATTATTATTATTATTTTATTTAACTTGTGGATGTGAGTATATGATGAGGTGTTTTTAATCATTGATACTTGAATGGCTATAGGAGAAATTTGAGAGAGAGAGAGAGAGACAAATAACGTGATACATGTACATGACTTGAAATTCATCAAATTAAATTATATCATACATGTTATAAATTAATTTATTTATTTTTTATTGACCAAAGAAAAAAAATAGTCACTCGAATTTTATTAAGTAATTTTGCTTTTGTTCAGATAAAATAATATGGGACATACGAAATAGTTTGTGCCTTAGACTAATGATACGTTATGAACTCGATTTAAAAATATTGATGAAAGGAATTCAAATTGTACATCAAATGATTATCAGATTAAAACGGAGGGGAAGGGGTGTAACAACAATCGTAATGTATTCGTGTATGTGTGTACGAAGGTATGTGATTATGTATACGCGCATACCTATGACTGTGTGGCAGAGTTTCGATGATGACAGTAGCATGTGACATAACAAATTGCCTCCAAAAAATATTGACAAAGGATCCATCATTGAGTAGTTTTAGATATGTATGATTGTGTGTATAAAAATTAAAAAAGTATCAAATTTGATGTAGCATATCAAGACTATGTATAGATTGTGCTGTCAGGAGGTGCTATAAGGCAATATTTTAAGAAGGCAGGCTACTAACCAATCATTTCACTCCACGTAGTCCTAAAAAAATGTAACTCTAATTATTCTTAATTGCAACTGGTAAAAATAAAATATTTGTTTATTACTCACTTGTATGTTACTACATTACAACTAAACTTACAACTTTGTCTTACAAAATTGGACTAAGTTACGGTCAATCCGTTACGGTCAAATTAGAAAAAAAAATCATTTTGTTTGAATAATTACATTTACCTTCTCAATTATATATTATCTTACAAAAAATATCCCTCCAGGGGTAAATTTAGAAATGTTAAATCGGTAAAACTGAACCGAAATTTTGGTGCGCCAACATTTCATACCGTTAACGAACTGAGTATACGATTTGGTTCGGTAAATAACCGACTTACATAAATTTTATGTAAAAATATTTAAAAGGAGGAGAGTGACTGTAATTACTCAAATAAGAGAGGTTTTTTCGTAATTTGATCATACTTTGGAGGGCGTAATGTGCCCTAAAAAATTCCACTTGTTTAAAAATTAGGATAATGATTGGTTCTTCAACTCTTACATAGATGACTTAGAACTTGTGATTGCAAATTCAAGATGTTTACCGACAAAGTTATGTTATCTTGTCCTAATGAAATTTTGAGATCTTGGTTTTAAGTTTCTATTTGCAAGTAGTATTATATAAACATATTTAATAGATTTTGAAATATAAATTTAATTTTCTATGCATCAAATAAATACATTTGATATACTTTAAACATTCACCCACCGAGTTAAAGTTAAATTACAAAAAAACCCTTCTTATTTGAGTAATTACAGCCATCTCCCTCAACCATGAATCTTTTTACATACGTCCACCCTTGCGGTGTCAAATTTAGTGGAATATTCTCTATTTTGTACCCATTTTATCACATTCGAGCTCCACATTTCGAAACAAGATGATCGTAAGATGTGTTTATTGGCTTGTAATTATCAGCTTCCGATGCATCAAAAACTGCACTTTTGCACAAAACAAGTAGAAACCAGAGAGTATTCCACGGAATCTAGAAGACTGTGTTAAATACGACACCATAAAGTTGGACGCGTAAGAAGATTCATAGTCGAAGGGGTTGTTGTAATTACCCGAACAAGAGGGGTTTTTTCGTAATTTAACATTACCTCAGAGGATGTTCATAGTCCAATTCAAAGTATGGGATCGACTAGTATGGGATGGAGTAGAAGTCTCTCTTGTATCTTTCATTACATCAAACATTTATTACACACAAACTCACAAACTTATGTCAATAATGTAATAGAAAATATAATAAAATTTTATTTTTGTAAATATATTATATTATACATATATAAGTCTATATATATATATATATTGAGGGAGGAGATGGGGGAGTGCATTTAATTGGACAACTAAGGAAGAATCAAAATATGGGAAGAATTAAAACAGCTTTGAAATAAAATTTCATGCCAGCACTGCCCATGTGCTTTTCCTTTATTTTTTATTTATTTATTTTAAAAACAGATTTCTGACTATTTTTTATGTTAGTAAATAATTTATTTATTTATTTGTTCCCATTATATAATGTGACAGCTACAAGATACGATGATGTTAATTTATTTGCTGTGAATTGTGATGGTCAACTAAACTGCCAATATCATGTTGTTTGAAGTAATCAAACTCTTTTTTTTTTTTTTTTTTTTTTTCCTAGTTTGAAAGATATAAAAAAAAATGAGAGGGATCTTTGCTTGTTCAGGTGGATTACTTCTTAATTAAGTTGTGCAGATTTTACAGGAAATTGCAGTAAACTTGGCTTTATCTCTGGATAAGAGACTATTCTATTTTAATTAATCTAATTATTTCTTGATGTGTATTGTGTTTTGTCTCTCACATCATTGATATATAGGACCGGCAATTGAGCCGGGTTTAATCGAAGTCCGATAGTTCGGTACGATTATATTTGAGGAGCCGAGCCTAATTTAAAGTGAGAATGGTTGAGTCTGGGTCATTTAATTAAACCCTATGTAGTACGGAAACCGGAACACGCACACCGGGAAACAAGGAACCTTACACGGGAAAACTGGGAAATGGACATGGGGAAACTCCGTTTTTCAAAAAGTTGGCTACGGAAATGTGGCAGAAACGCACAAATAATAAAAATATAGGGATGCATTCATACTAAAAAATATTATAATGTTTAATATCATTCCATCAATTACATTGGGACTTGCTTTTTACGGTTTGAAAATTGTTATTTACCGTTCAAGACAGCTGAATTGAACGCTTAAGGCAGGCGCCCACGGCGTACGAACGCCAAATTGATTTGTAGGGCTTTTCAACATGAAATTGGTTCCGTAATCGACCTACCCAATGCATATTACACATAAAGGGGTCGAAATTATCTCAAAAAATCGAAGCCCAACCCTTCTTCAAGCTTGATTTCGAATTTTCGATTTTTTATTTTTGTTGGTATTTGCAATTTGGGGGGTTTTGGGTTTTTTTTGGGAGATTTTGGGGTTTTAGAGAGATAAATGGTTTTTTGTTATGAACGGTAAATAGCAATTTTCAAACCGTAAAAAGCATTTCACGTTACATTTAGAACATATAAATTTATAACATCTACGAAAATATTAAAACACCAAGAAGTGAAAAGGAGACATAATATTTAAGATATTTTTTGAGCGTATACAATTTGAAGTTTTTATTTAAAATAAAATTTGGATTTATTTTGTGTGGAAACGACGCGTTTTTTATTTTTCATTATTAAACGTCCCTGAAACTTTTAAATATTAATGGAAACGGCCTCGAAACATTTCAGACAGGTGTCATGGAGTTTCAGTTTTCAAAACGTTGAAACGCGTGTGGGTTGAAGTTTCCGTTCATCATAGATTAAATTCCATTAATTTATAAGGTGAGTTTGAGTTTCTCATAGTTCAATCTGAATTAAGTTAGATATAATATAAAACGTTTCATATATACAAGTTACATAATCTTCTTTTACTTCGCTCATTCCTATTTCCAGGTTTTTCTCGTGTCTTGTAGAAACTCATTTAGGGTTTCTTTAGATGGATTTCAATTGTCTAGATTATTTGATATAATTGAGTTGTTCGTCGAAATTCTTCATTTCTTTGCTGCAAATTTATCAAGTTTGTAATTTATATATTGCTCGATATTTTATCCGAAAAGAAATAAATGAATCGAGCTTAAGCCTATAACCCTGAATCTCAGTGGTATTTGAATATGATGATCCTATAGTTCCGAAGTTTGATGATATTTGAGTTTGAGCGAACTCAAACTCAGCGCACATAGCCCAATTACCGGCATTATATATATTGTATGTTGGCAAATGATTTCTACTCTTCTACTACCTCAATCACGTGGCAGTAATAATCGAATATTCTATACTTACCTAACTCATTTCTTGAGCAGCATTATTTATATATTAAAGGTGATGATTTTTTTTTGTATTATATGAAATAATAAAATAATATTTAAAAGAAATATGTGACAAAATGCCAAAGAAGCCTACAAAATTCAAAACGGCGTCACATGTGAGTTTGTTTGGGGATTGATGTAACTCATAATAAGAGGTAGTACATCCTATTCCAATTTTTGTCTACTTATCATATATTCTCACATGGCCCCTTATCTTTTTACTATTTCCTTTTGTGCCTCAATTATTTGCATATTCACATGAATTTTACACATATACCCCTGAAAAAACACAATACTTTCTCAACGTAGGAAAACAAATAAAATAAATTTCAACTATACAGAATCACAGTTCACATCCCTTGAAACAAAATTTCAAAATGTTTTTACAATAGTGAATAAGTTCCATAAAATCTATATATATTCCCCCGCAAGTGCAACAAAATTTGCGGAATCGACGAACATCGAAGCTATATATGATATCACAACATTTTCTTTTAATCAAAAGTCGGCCCCTTTTTTCCCGTCGCGCAGCCACTCTATAAGAAAACAAAGGCATAATTTCTTGAATTTACAATGATAATCGACACCGTCGATATCTGTATCTATAGTAGACAGAACACCGTCCTTGAAATAAAACCTAGATTCTTCCTTTCTACTCATATTCTTGCCCGTTGCGTGACAATCACATTCCGTCGTTAGCCATTTGTCCGAATTTTCACATTCGCCAATTTTTACATTCTTGCCACGAGAATTTTCACCTGGGGGCAATTTGGGCAATTTACTTAGTGACAAGTGAAGATTGGCAGATAAAGAAGCGACAAAATCGTGAACATCCTCGACGGTAGAACACTCGCTTCCTTTAAGCTCCCATCGAGTATTTATAATTTTCAGAAGCAGCTTATTGAGATTCGCAAAGCACTCCAAACAACACTGGTAAAAGCACATAGTAGCTACAGTAGAAGCACCGGTAACACTGCTGCTAGGCTTTGACTCAGAGTTGACTTTATCGTTTTCGAACGAGTTTTCATCGGTGGATTTTGGCAAAATAGTATTATCAATCAACGATGACAGACCATCTGCTTGAAAACTGGAACTACTCTCTGTGAAACCGTTGCAAAGTTTGACCGATGAATGTTCCAATTCTGCGTTAGAGGACAAGTTATCTTCCTTCGATGCTATGGTCTGTTTAATATCGTCTGAGACAATCGTACGGGAAGGAGGCTCTTCTACTGTAACTCCATTTGCAATATCGGTTGGATTAGACTGTTCAGGATCAGCAGTAGTAACTACTTTCGGACTTTCTTCAAACACTTGCGATCCATGCAAGTCTACATTCGAAAAATTGTCCTTTAAGACATGATTGTCAGCCGTTTCCACACACGTATTGGCATTCGCCTCAGACAAACGAGTATCCATCTCTAAGCTGAAAAGAATTCTTGGTATTAGTGAAAAGCTGAAAAGAAATTTTCGACATATGTCAAAAAAAAAAGGAGCAAATACCTTTGCAATGTGTGGGCCCAATTGCTAAACATGTCTTCAAGATAAGCCACTTGTGAAAGAACTCGAATGAACTGGCTTCTGTCTTTCCCAGCTCGAATTTTCTCATCAATTCGTCCGACTAGAGTTTCCAGAACTTTCCGAACCTCGGAGCAAATCTCCCTCGTCGAAGAATATTCACCTCTATATGCTGATAAACCAACAGCAACTAGTCCTCTAACTAAACCAGATTTTTTGCTTTTGCTATTACCCGAAACAGAATCAGCAGCAGCAACTTCTTCCATTGAATCAATCGGACGAACAATACAAGAATTGAAAGGCCAACCTCTCCAGGGCCCATGGGAGTTGGCACAAGGACCTTCTTTCAACTTGGAAGTAACCCAACAAAGTTCGGCAAAATGAGGATAACAAAGAATCTGATAGCCAACGGTTGATATTGCCAACATTAAGCTCGATTTCCCCTTCAGACTTTTATTTGTAAGAACAACTGGACTGGGCTCGCTGACGTGGCATGGTTTACTACGCAAAACTTGATCGGCATCACCTTCAACTGTATCATGAGCTTTCTCCTCGAACGATATCTCGTGACCGTGACTTCCACTATGGAGTGACTGAACAAAGTGTTGCGCCAAATCGTTTGTCAACTTGGCGGCAAAAGAATTAATCATCTTATCATGATCGAATTTCCCGTCAAGCTGCACGGAGAATTGTGGCACCTTGTGATCCATTGGCTTCGAGAGGTTGCAACCCACTATCTCGTTCCCAAAAAATTGCCTTATTCTATCGGGAAGCAATGAAAACGCTAATTCTGATGTGGCCTGTTAAAAGAAGATTAAAAAAAATTAAGAGATACTCAGATAAAGGATGTCGTCCTAAAAAATAGGTTACACTACCAGACACTCCGATGTTCAATTTTGTTGATTGCATGATGATTATTAAATATTAAAAGAAGGAAGCACCATACCAGAATCATCAAGGATGTATTTACGCGCATAGACTCCACCTGCTGAATGAAAGTGGTCCATAGATACGATGCCTTCCTCGCAGCAGTTTCAGACTGTGTCGCCCCTACATCGGCACTCGGACCGATCCCATGTTCCATGTCAACTTCACAGTCTCCATCAGAAGACATCTTTTCAGAGGGTTCGGCTTCCATTGAAGATGATTCACACTCATGTTCAGAAGCTTTATCATATGTCTCAATAGCCCACAAATCAATTGCTGGCATATATAGCATGCAGACATTTGCAGTAGTGCATCTCACTGTCACAAAAGATATAGCAGCTATAAATATAGTAGAAGGTGACGACGCAGATAATAACACCGAGAACAATTAATTCGTCACACCCCACACCCTTGTTTAAGCAGAAGGATACCAATAGGACAAAATAACAGGAAAATATACTCTCGGTTTTGATGAATTGAACTACCTCAATTCTCACAAGCTAAACTAGGTGTTCCAAACAATTTTGCATAAAATATGTTTTAAACTTTGCAGCCTATCAAAGCAAGCATGAATATAAAATTAGCACAAATCATACATTTGATGCTATCCTGATGAAATAGAAAGATTCGTTTCAATAAATCGAAATGGAACTGAGACATACTCAGTATACGTGCTAGGCCATGAACCATGTCTCCGTGTCCTTCGTGAGAGATACTAGCCAAATCCACTTTCCATACATCAATATCGCCAACAAAATTGTGGAGAAGACACGAGGCAAGATGCCTCTGGCCTGATCTTGGATCTCCACAAATCAACATTTGAAATCCCGACATATTCTGCAGCAACCCGGGGCGAGCACCCGTACATTGAGAGTTGGGAGGCATGATTTTTGAACCCTCGTCGGTGTTCTCCTCTATCACATTAAAACCACACTGATTAGTCTTTCCAGCCAGAATGTTAGCGAGAGTAAGATTCTGTTCGATCTCATTTGCTACATCTGCTTCTTGAAGTAACCAATCCACGTGCAACCACCAATTATCACTCTTCACTCTCCTTCTATCTAAAGCAGAAACAATGACATTTTTCACCGATGAGGAAGCCTTACTAAGATACGGTGGCAACCAGACACGCTCATCCACATACAAGCGAACCAGCAGTTTCGTCAGTGGCTGCAAAAGACAAGGAACGAGATGAACTTTAAGAGGTGAAGAAACAACATCATTTAATGCAATTCCACTCTCTCTTCGAGAACAAGGAGGTGGTGCACACGAGAGCGCCTTCAACCAATCTTTCTCCTCCACCGTGAAAGTGGGAATAGCAGGGCGTTTACTATCACTAGCTCTAGTTTCTGCTGCAGTGAGAACTTGTTGCAAGGGAAAACTCCTCCTCAGAGCAATTATAGCAGCTTGGGTACAAAGAGCCTGCAAATCAGCACCAGCATACCCCACAGTTTCTTTGGCTACCCAATCCAATAAGGACCCAGTTACAGGCTTCGGCCACTTCTGAGTGTGCAATGTGAGGATAGCTTCTCTGTCCGTAACAGAAGGCAGTGGGAAATAAATCTCCCTATCGAATCTCCCAGGCCTTCGTAGAGCTGGGTCAATTGCATCGGGGCGATTAGTTGCTCCAATTACAATGACTGAACCTCGAGATTTTAGGCCATCCATCAATGCAAGCAGAGTCGAGACAACTGAATTATGTGTTTGATCTTGCTGCTTAGTGCGGCAAGGGGCCAGACCATCTATCTCATCGAAGAAAATTATAGAAGGTTGAGATTTCTCGGCGACTTGGAACAGAAGCCTAAGTTGGCGCTCAGCATCACCGACGTATTTTCCAAGACAATCTGCACCTTTCCGTGCAAAATATGCTATCCTCCTATCTCCACGTGCACAAGAACCAACTAGTGCACGCACAACCAATGTCTTGCCAGTTCCAGGATATCCATGCAACAGAACTCCCCTTGGAGGTGTAAGTCCTAGATTACCGAAAAAGTCGGGGTACAAAAGTGGCAAAATAACAACCTCTTTCATGCATCGAATGACATCTTGCAGCCCAGCAACCGATTCCCAGCCCTGGTATTGTTTCTCGGGCTCGGAATTTGGACCTCCAATGTATGTGGGTGCTATTCTTAACAAATCCCGATGCAGCCTCTTGCTTTCACGTTTCAAAAATTCTTCATCCTCCCCACAATTCTCTAACCATTTTTCTTCCACTTCGATATCCTTACGGCATGCTTCATTAGCCACCTTTCGCAGTTCCAACTTCAACCTTTTCGCCTTGAGTTTCTTCAACCATTGGTCATTCTGTATTCCATGCGGTCGGAACAGATGTCGGTGATCGTTGCAAGCTATAAGAAATTTACGATGATCAAAGATGCAACTTCTGGATCGCGCACACGGCTACAAAAATAAACAAATTACAAAGTTAAAAACTAGAATTAACCTAGGGGATGTGAAAATTTGTGGAACACAGCATGCAGTAAAGAGAAATAAAACCAAAGCAAGAAAATGGAGATGAGCAGACAAAATGGAATAATTCAACAAAGCAGTGAAGTCTTAAAAGGGTGAAAAAGTCGCTAAGAAACAACATAAAGACAAACCACTCACCAGGTGGTAAGTTTTTGGACATCGATCAACACGACACCCTATGGTTGCTCCAGGTTTTCTACAGCGGCTGCATTTAAGCACCCTTCCCCGATAAAGTGCAGCCCGAACATTTTTCAAGCATCCCAATCCAGCAAAATAAACCTGGAAACAATTATTAGAATAGTTAAGAATATAGCACCAGCAAACAAGAATAGTAAAATACTGGAATTGGATACTTCAAACTGAAAAGAAAAAAATACGAGAAAATAGGCAGTCGTGATTGTTGCATATGCTGCATTAAAAATTTCTATAGTTAACCGACGATTGAGAAAGTACAGTGATGAGAATTGAGATGTGATAATCTTTTAAACAAACAATATCACAAAGAATACTGAAGATGAACCAACTCCAAGTGATACTAGTACTAGCTTACACGCAAAACCATAACACACAAATACAAATGAACAACAGAATTACAGCTGTAAACGATATAAGTCGACCAATATCCTTCACAGGGATAACAGTGTGCATTGAAACTTGAAAAGTAAGATCTGAAATACCAACCAATATGAAGCATGTTTTGCGATGAAAAAATAATTGACATCTAGAAAAACAGGTTCACTAAAAAGCCCTCAATCAAACGCCACAAACCAGAAAATATGTGATTCACAACAATTAACAGACTCGAAAATAAAATTAACAAAATCCTTTCCACGAGACTGAGAATCCTGACTATGATAACTGAACACCCAAAAAATCTAACAAAAGAATAACAGGCCAATTAAAGAAAGGAAAAAAAATCCCATCCATTTATGGAACTTCCAAACTTTTCCCTCCCCATCTACCCATCCTAGTACAAAGAAGTAATTGTTTTTAAAGCCCAAATCAACTTTCTTAATTTTCGGGTTTGCCAAGTGTGAGAAAGAACGAAAGAAATCTATGGTTGACGTAAAACTAAAACAATAAAAACACATTTTACCTTCAGAGTAACTCTGTATACGTCCAAGAAGTCTATCTATAACGACACTACTGAAGTGTTATAAATAATACATTTAAGGATATAATACACACCTCAGGGCTCCATACAGCACATTGCTGATGAACCCAAATTCCTGCTATGCCGAAACGATCATTAATCGGACCCAAAAGCCGACCAAGCCATCCAGATTGATCACCAAAACCATCCCATACATCATAGTTCGGTTCTTCAGAAGCAGATGATCCACTATATGCCTCGTTATCGCTGCCCGCACCTTCCAGAAAAGTACTTTCGGAGGCTTTCCATCATACCGCCACCACATAAAACCACAGCGTCTTCCCGTTTTACTCTCGGCTTTCTGTCTGCAGTAACGGCAGCACTATATCTAAATTTTTGATTTTTTTAGGACTCGTCTTCAAGATCC